CATATAATGCACACTCACAACCTTTACTGGCGCTACCTTCGTAAAGGAAAATGAGTAGAAAATTTTTATATTCAAAACTTGTTATTAAAATTTCTTTTAATAAATTATATTGCACAATTTTATAAACAGCAAAAAGAGTATACTTTGTTTCAAAATAGAGCGCATATGTACATTTTGTTCGTATTACATACTGAAAAAATAAACATTATTGTTACATATTATGAAAATACTCCTGTTATAAAGTATAAAAATCTTATACTAGATACATAACTAGTTTGGATTGATAGTTTAAGGAAGTTCAAAATTAATCACTAGAACGATCTCAATATATATATTTATCAAAAAATATAGTACTCCTAAATATTATAGTAGTTTTTAGGCAAATATAAAATTTTTTTAATTTCAAGTATAGTTTTAAAGCTTTAGCATTATATAAACACTTTTCTCACAAATCTATTAAATTTCTCATTTATAAAACTTTTTGCTTCGATCAGATGCCATATCACGTAGCATTTGGCATGGCTTAAATGCGTCACCATAGTGGCTTTGAAATTCTTCCATTTTATGTACTAATTTATCAGCACTGTAAAAATCTATCCAACGGAAAGGCCCACCAGTGAATGGAGGGAACCCTAATCCAAAAACAGCACCTATATCACCCTCCAACTGCAAAAATATTTATGTTTAATAAACACAATATAATTTAATGGTTTACTAATGCGTTCGAAATTTTGTATTACCGGATTAGCCAAAATATTTTCTTCTAAACAAAGTACTGCTTCGTTAACAAATCGAGACACCATTCTTAACTGACGGTCTTCGACAGATGTACTTCCTTTTGGTTCAAGTTTGTATTTCTTCAAAATGTCTAATGCCGCAAGGTTTATATTTCTGTTCTTAACATTAGATTCATATATATATATTCCCTTGCCAGACTTCCTCCCTAAAAATGACATATATTTCCCTAAATACATCTATAAAAAGAATAAAGTATATAAAACAAATAAAAAACTGAATACCTAGAAAACCAGCTTGAACCATGTCACTGAGTATATTTACATCTCCACCTCTAAAACGTTCACCTAGTGCCTTTACAAGGTGCGCACTTATATGAGCGCCAACATCGATGCCGACTTCATCTGATAAAGTAGCTGCTCCAACAGGAAAGCCGAACTTTTTACACATACTATCTAGATCTATAGGATCCACACCTTCCTGTTTTTATATTGAGCATTACATTTTTCAGTTTTCTTATACTATACAGTATAAAGTATGAAAAAAATAAAAGTATTACCTGCATTAATCTAATAGCTTCAGATAACATAGCAGACAGAATTCTTGTTGTATAAAATCCAGGACCATCCCCAACAGTAATAACTGTTTTTCCTTGTTTTAAACCTACATCAACTGCAGTTTTAATAGTTTCAGCGGACGTACCTTTATGTGTTATTATTTCTAACAATTGCATTTTATCTACTGGAGAAAAGTAATGCATTCCAATCACCTATAAATACATTTCTCTGTTACATCAGATTAGAGAAATAATATATAATACATACCTTATCTGGACGGCTACTACCAGCAGCTATTTCAGTAATAGGAATTGCTGATGTATTTGTTGCGAGTACACAATAATCTGGAGTATTTGCCTCAATTTCTTTTATAACTTTATGTTTAATCGCAATATCTTCAAATACAGCTTCAATTACAATATCTGCATTTTTAAATGAATTATAGGCTAATGTGGAATCAAGTTGAGAAAGATATTTATCTTTTTGAACGCTAAAAATTAATTTTTAAAATTAGAACAGAATTCGGAAATCAGCGGCTCTTTAAACGCGTACGAGTATGTTACATTTTTAATGAAAAGCTAAAAACTAACTTGGAATACTTCTTTCGTTTCACTGCAGTATCCAATCCTTTTTGTACTTGATTAAAACCACGGTATAAACCCGCCTCACTTGTATCTTTCATAATTACATCAAAACCTTTATCTATGCTTACTTGAACAATACCTGCTCCCATAAGACCAGCACCAACAACAGCAATTTTTCTGAAATACATATATGAGATTAGTGTTCTATAAAAGAATTAGTTATTTTTATATAAATATCAATGTAATGCATATCAAAATATCCATACTTAACAGCATTTTTGGGTGCCCCAAAACGATTTTTTTTACATGCTGTTTGTCCAAAGAATAAACTTGTAAGACCCCTACATTGAGATGTAACTGCTAGTTCACCAAAGGCTTTAGCCTCTGCTTCATAACCAGCTTTTGGTCCCTTATCCATACCAGTACGTATTACATCTAAGATTTTAAGAGGTGCAGGATACAATCCCCCAGTCTTTTTCATTACTTCATTTTTTGCTCTGGTAAATACTTGATTTTTTACAAACTCATAGGATAAAGCAAAATTCATAACTTTATCCATCAATGTTTTAGAGCTTCGATCAATTTTTAATGTTCCATTTGCAAGATCTTTTGCAGCTCTAATAGCAGTCTCTTCTAAATATCTCATAGTACTGCAAATATATCAATGAGATACAATTTTTCTTTATATAATGGAGATACAAATTTTATTTATTTCATACAAATGCATATGAAATTAACTATTCTTACTTTTCTTCTGGTGTTCCAATACCAGGACCAAGACGGTTTACTAAAATATCTACAAGTCCAACTTGCTTAGCTTTAATTGCTTTAAGATTTTTGCCAGTAAGAGTCATATCTAAAGCATTAGGAAGTGAAGTTAATTGAGGTAATCTTTGTGTACCACCTGCACCAGGCAAAAGACCTAACATTACTTCTGGTAAACCTAAACTAGTTTTTTGATCATTTACAGCAAGTCGATAATGACATGCCATGGCTACCTATGTAAATTAAATAAAAGTGTCTATGATTAAAACCATAGATATTGTAATATAGTAGTATATAAACATATTAAATTATATACCTCAAGACCTCCTCCTAAACAACTGCCTTGGATTGCAGCTACAACTGGCTTTTGGCTTTTCTCTATTGTCTCTAAAACTTTCTGACCATCAGAAGATATTTTATAGCCATCTTCTGAAGTCTTAAAACGTTGTATCATAGTAATATCAGCACCAGCAATAAAACATCCTGGTTTTCCACTTATAAGAACTACTGAATTTACAGCAGAATTATGTTGTACAGTTTTTAAAACATCCACAATTTCATCCATTATTTCTCGATTTAAGGTGTTCACCTATATTATATGAAATGCTTGTTATTTTTATTGATCTTCCCTACTACTATTTTCAAACTATTAATCAGACAATATATCAATATATTAATGACAAATAATATAATTATATGTTAGATGTATGTATTTATTATATACCTTAACTCCTGGAGAATCTAAAGTAAGAACTGCTACATTATCTACAACTTTGTATCTCAAATGTTTTGTATTTACTTGGGTACTCATTGCTCTTATTGATTTGTATAACGCTAAAAATAAAATTTATGATCAAATATAAATTCTAAAGCTTCTATTTCTATCAGTCACTTCTAAGTCAATATTTGCCATTTTATAAATATTCATTTTGAAGTTTTATCTATTTTTCAACCTTTTACTTAATCATAAATAAATGTTTCCTTTGTATTTATTATGAATTTGAATATTTCATGTATTTTGAACCTTATGTGACATGTAGATTACGATAAGTTTACTTGGGAGCAAAGGTTCATAAATACGATTATATAAAAATATAACTCTTGTTTTCTTATTTATAATTACCTGTTCGTACTACAACATTTTTGTTAATATGCGAAAAACTCGCAATAGCACCTAATAATCTATATTGTGACATGTTTTTACAAAATTACATGCACACGCCCCAAAAGATAGTTTTAAGTCTGCACATGGAATCACTGTGCGAAAGTAGAAACGCCGGTAACTACGCATGCGTGTAAATGTGGATATTAATCTAACCTACTGTATTTACTATACTCTTCAAGGACTTTGACCTCAACTTACTGTATCCTGATATATATAAAAATAATTAATAAGACAAAAAAATGATTAAAATTGTTTTTAAACATGAAAAATATAATTTAATATTACAATTGATATTTTCAGAATACAAAATGTATGATGTCTATTCTTTTATGTGTCATATGTACCACATAATATAGTATCATAAGTGTATGCTTTCGTAATGTACTTATTACAGAAAAATAACATTTGCTATTAATATTTAACATTAAATATTAAAATTTGAATTTTGAATGTTCTTGTGTAAATATTTTATATATCATTAAAACTTGTACATGTTACTTGATACTAATAAGAAAATTGATTATTAAAACAATGTATCTATATATGTATACATTTATTATTTGTATCATTTAATATCAGTGAATATTGTTCCTATGAACTTAATTCCTATACTTGCCTGTATTTCAATATTTATTAATTAGCAAGTACATAGTTTTATCATATCATGCTGTTCAACAGTTGGCTATTTTATTGCACCACTACAATCAAGATCTTGTTTGTAGCGCCGCAGACAGTTACATCTTCGAAGTATTATTACAAATAAATACTATCACAGTTATGAACTGCGATATACACATGTTTTTCCACTTTAGTTGATTTGATTTGAATTAGTTGATTACCTGTAGAAAATAAAGTATTGCTATGATAGTCACACGTAGTTTTAATTCCAAACATGATTAGTATTGTAATTTTATCTATCTATTAAATTGATAATTTTGTAAGTCACGTAAAAATGGTAAGGGGATTTGTGAATTCGCATATTGTGTGGCATAAAAAGACATTACTTCTTAAGAACATTTCAACATTTGAAACAGAATATATTTGTTATGCTAAATATATGATGTAAACAGTGAAAAGAATGTTCAATGTTCACTTGAAATGAAAAAACTATTTGATGTATAATATTTATCTATTCACAACTGCATTTACAGCGATTTGTAAATCATATCTTTAAAGTATTTCCAATTCTGCAAAATGCTAGATACCAGAACATTTTCATATAAGAAATATTTAACTGAAGCTGTCATAGCTTTAGCATGTGTGTTTATTTTTTGTGAATATTTACTATATTACCTTGTGCTTATTCAGGTGAGTTATATAAATAACAAAATGATTGTAAAGATTAAAAATTTCATATGTTGTATTTAACACAACAGTGTGCATGGCCAGTTTTGGAACCACATAAAACTGATACAACAATTACTGAATCCACATCAGAAGAAACTCCGGTACATGCAATGTTTATAGCAGATACTCATTTATTGGGCTCAAAAAATGGACATTGGTTTGATAAATTAAAAAGGTTTGACTTTATTATATGATAATAAACAAGTAGTAAATTCTTTATACATTTTTGAAAGTAATTTCTCCCTATTGAAATCAATATTTTCTTTATGTAGAGAATGGCAAATGTATAGAGCATTCCAAACTATGGTTACTCTTCATAAACCAGACATAATTTTTATATTAGGTATGTAATAAAATTATATTAATGATATAATATATTGAAGATAAATTGAAATAATAAATATATTATAATTACGACAGGTGATTTATTTGATGAAGGACAGTGGAGTAGTTCAGCAGAATTTGACCAATATATACAAAGATTTCATTCATTGTTTTCAGTACCTAAACACACTCATCTTTATGTTGTTGCTGGAAATCATGATATTGGATTTCATTATGGTATTGTAAAATATTTTTTTTATAACTATGAATAGTTTTTATAACTATAAAATGAATATGATATTTTTGGCAAAAAAATATTCTTTAGCTATTACACCATACTTAAATCAACGATTCGTAAATGGTTTGAAGTCACCAAGTGTGAAAAGAGTTAGTATTAGAGGGAATCACTTTGTCCTAATTAATAGTATGGCATTGGAAGGAGATGGGTGCTTTTTGTGTCGTCCTACAGAAATTGCATTAAATAAAATTTCCAGTAAGATTACTTTTTGTTAGAGAAGTGAATAATTATGAGAATTAAAACTTATGTATAAATAAAAATATTTTTCAGCACATTTAAAATGTGCTAAAGATATGGGAAGTAGTTGTAACAAAGATAATGCAATTTCGAGATACAGCAGACCAATTATTTTACAGGTCAGTAAATGTTTCTTAAAATAAAAACGATAATGTAATATTTAAATTATAATTATAGCATTATCCAATGTATCGTGAGTCTGATGAAATTTGCAATGAACCTGATCAAGCACCAGATGAAATAAAAGATATAAAATTTAGGGAACGATGGGAATGTTTATCAAAGGAAGCATCTGAGCAAGTACATGAAATATTTTGCAAGGATTATTACAATAAAATTGAATTTATAGATTTTTAGTTTTATAGAATTTGTAGAATTTATAGAATTTATAGATAGATTATAGAAAATCAACTTACAGCTTTTAGATATATTGAATCCAAGACTGATCATTAACGGTCATACTCATCATGGTTGTAGAAGAATACATAGAAAAGATATATTAGAATTTACAATACCATCTTTCAGTTGGCGTAATAAGGATAATCCTTCACTTTTACTAGTAAGTTCTACACATTTGAAAAAACTATTTAATATAACTTCATAATTTTATTACCATATACATACTTATAGTACTATTCATATTTCAGGGTGTATTTACCCCCAATAATTATTCTGTATCAAAATGTTACATGCCTGTGGAATCTACAGAGATCAAAATTTATGTTATCAGTGTAGTGTGTATATTTATATATTTTATCATAAAATGTAGATTGAAACAAAATCGATATTATCTTTTAAAGTTTCATTAAAGACATGTTTCTATTTATTAGTATTAATTTAAAAAAGTGCAGTAAGTAGATTATAAATAATAATTATAAACAAACTAAAACATAAAAATATAAGGCTCAAATTATTCATATTTTTATGCGTATCTTCATATATATAAAATAAAAATATTAGTTACATATTATTTACACTATTCAAAGTATAAAATATTTATATTATTTATTCTCATTATTATATTAATCAGATCAATAGCACATCTCAACTGCATTAAATTATTGAATACTATTTCACTTTACATACTCCAATCTTCTTTTCATTATTTTATCAAACTACTCTATTGGAAAGGAAAATGTGTATAAATACATATAACACACTATAAGAATATTAAAAATCACAAATATAATCATTGCAACATGTACAAAACTTATATCTGTCTTATATATTTAATCAGCCAATATCAAAGATCTCATATATTACTGATTTACTAAACATACTTAATACTTGAATAATTAAAAATATAGATCTTTATAATTAGTCCAAAAGTGAATTGTTACGCATAATTAATAAACATTTTATATGACATGACATTACGGAGAAATATACACCCCAGGTTATCCAAATGTAAGTGACATAATTTTACATCCTTAATGTTACATTATATGCATTCGATGCATACATGTCTAGTAACAAATGTCTACAGATATAACTTGTAAACTTGTTATTTTATTGCAATAAAAAATATAATAATTGTGAACTAATATTATTTTTGTATTTAGCATTGACTATAATTAATATTACATTTATTAATATTTTTATATATTTTTTAATTTTATGTTAAAAGGAAGTAATATTAATATAGTCTATGCATTTTCTTTATATGAATATGTGTATTCTTCGCTGAATGTGAGCAGTACTCTGTTTTATAAATTATAAGTACTCTAATAATAACAAAATATTTATTTAAGATATGTAATAAACAATAAAAAGAGAAAATCATGTATTAATAATGCAATGAACTAAGTTATACATCACGTCCTTTAATCAGAACCTTTTTCTGTTCATTTGTAAGTTTTACATATTTTTCGTTATAAACAAAATAATTTTATAATATTTAAGAATATTATTTGGTAAATGTACTACTCATCTTTTTAATCAAATTAGATTAATCTAACGAAAATGAAACTATTGTACTATTTTGGTTTCATACATTTAATTTAAAGTAATTAAATATTTTTTGTAACATTGGAAATGTGTTACCTTCTTTAATCATTGATTTCATCAATGATTAATTTGACTAGTCTATTTTTACAGCAGCATATATTTTACGAATAAATGCATAAGCAGCAAAGAAACCTATTGTACCTGTTAATAACCAAAACGTTAATACCATTAATGCAGTGTAACCAAAATATAAAAGTGTTGGAATTAGTTCTGTTATTTCTAATTTTGTCATAAAATAAAAAATTGAGTAGGCTAGGACATATACAGCTGATCCTCCACTAACAATAAAGCTTCTCCACCACCATCGGTAATCCTAATAACGAATAAAATAACATAAGTATATATGCTATAAACACAATTGAAAATAATTGTTTATTACTCACTTCTCCGCATAACTGGAAATAGACCATAACTATGGATATTTGAGAACAAGAAATGACAAGTATACAGAAAACGAGGAAGAGAAATCCGAAAAGATAATAAAATTGATTTTCCCATAACGCTGTTAGGATGAAAAATAATTCTATAAAAACAGCGCCAAACGGAAGAATTCCAGCCATTAGCGTACTGTAATAATTATAATAAACATTTTGTTTATTATGAAATTAATATAATATTATCATTATAATGAAATTGATATACATATATATGTATATACATATTTCTTAACATATTAATAGATAATTCTTTAAACTTACCATAGTATTGGGTTCATGTACCATAACTGATCAGGAACTTGTCTGGGAATTTGATTTGTTCTAACAGGATGTGTGAAAGGTTGTTTTCGATATCCAAAGAAATATCCAAGGTATACAAGAGGAAGTGATATACAGAACCATAAACATAATAATGCTAACATTGTTGTAAATGGTACTGCACCAGAACTATGCTTTCCCCATATAAAGAAATTTAAAAAGAAACAAGTAGTAAACACTATTCCAGGATACAGTGTTGCCGTCTATAATAAATTATATAGTAATATAGTAAATTTTATATTATCTTTATATCTTATATTAACCCATTTTGTCCTTACTAGTAATGCTGTCCTTCTCCATTTTCGACCACGCATTGTTTTATAAAGGCGCGCAGAAAAATATCCAGCAATTACACCAGAAGACACATAAAGAAATATTGCACAGGTTCCAAGTGCACCTCTACTGGCAGGAGAAAGCATTCCCAACATAGCAAAAACTAAAGGTATATAAGAAAAGTAGTATAAAAATATTTAGTAATGTATGGTATTCTTTCATACAACAATATAGAACCTTACATATTGTGATTAAAGCCATAAAAAATATTTGAATTCCACTCCCTATCACAGCGGCAAATAATCGAGGATTTGGTGGTGGTCGAAATACATCTCCATGAACAAGTTTCCATCCAGTTTCTTCAATTGCTTCATCTAAACCTGCTAAACTGTCACTTTCACCAGCATTATAACGTGCGATATCTCTCCTTAGTGTTCGAACCATGATCATAGTTAAGATCCCTATATAATTTTATTCAAAACTTTGTATATAAACTTCAAAGCGATCAAAGGACTTAAAAGTATAGGGTATGATGTATATTTACCAGAAAGGAAAATGACTACAATCAGTGAATTGATGATTGAAAACCAATGAATTTCAACATCGCTCATTCCCAAATATATATCCCATCTACTTGCCCAACTCACATCAGATTGTCTCCACTCCACAGAATATAAGAACAGAAGCTTGGTTCCTTTGGGATTAACAAATTGAGGATTTGCCTGAGGATTTGTGGGCACTATACAAGTATTTCTATCAAACTTTAGTTGGCTTACATCAACTGAACGAGCTTCTACTTCAAATCCAACTACTCTAAATTCATTTCTATGAAAAGTAAAAAAATAATTATAGTTTGAAACATCATTTACATATCAAGTGATGCTTTTTATACTAACTCTCCATATCTATGGTTACTTAATTTTAGTTTAAGATAATTATTAATGTAATATTGGTCATTCATGATACCACCCAAACGATATCCATGATATACAATTACGTTATTTGTATCTTTATGAACCTTTTTTGTTGCTGCTGGTAAATTATCAATTAACCTAAGAACAGAAAAAAATGACTGTAACTATATATTGATATAAATTATAATGCAAATATATGCTTACAAATGCACAGTATAATCATGTTGAATGCGTTCTATAACACGTTGCGACTCTTCTTCATTCCATGTCATAAGATTAGATGGTCCATGACATAATAATTTACAGCTTACATCATCTGCCATTGATACCTCATATGGTGTATTTACAATTCTATATAAGAATGAATCAAATTACTTTTTCAGAATATAGTGATAAATAGGAAATCTTACCTGTCACCACGTAATACTTCTCCTAAATTCTCTGATTTGTAAATAAAAGTTCCATTTTTTGGTATACAAAATGGAACAGAATAATATTCATACGGTAATTGTGTATGAGTACTGGTCATTTTCACTGCTTTAACATCAATTTTTTGCCCCTTTTTAAATTCCACAGGGGCAACACCAGGCACATAGAAGCCATTTGTTTCAATTAATAATGATATTATTACAAATATTGCACTCCCTTGTTTTAATCTTCCCTGTTAACAGAAACATAATATATGTGGTACATGTTTTACTATATCTTAATTAAATAATTGATATTTTTAAAAACGACTATATGTCCAATAGGATAAACAGAAACATGATTTATTTATAAATACAAATGTGGATATGCTCACATTATTTTCTACCAGAGATACGTCTTACCAATTTCAACCAATTATGAAACTTAATGACACTAATCCTTAAAACATTTTTTGACTAATTGTGATAAAGCGTAATTAAGTTTCTGACAGGACTAATGGCATTGTACTTTACGAATACTATAAAGACAGAAAATACTATACTGAAAAAGAACCGCCACATCAATTCAATAAATACTTTTATTTTGTGGTATTCAATCTTAATAACATTTAAACACACGAAAATAATAAACGAAAAATACTTACCATTCTTTAATATTGTTTTCGTTAAAGGCGCGCCACGCCGTACCTCTTACGTTATTCTTAATCGCTACTCGTAGAGTTTCTACTGCGTTCACGTCAAAAATGAAATTTACTTCAACATGAAGTTTGTTTCGAAACATTTGTTGGTAAAGTAATACAAGAATGATTCTTTATAAAATTCCCTAGCAGGTTTATTTCCAGTTACACGTACACGCACGGTCATATACATATGTTATTTTTTATACTACGACATTTATCAATACATAGTAAATAGTAACAGTAACATTTACCAATAGAATTGTTAAACCGAGAGGAACTTCATAATTTTCATAAGCGGCTACTTATATTTGATAAAATTTAGAAAAAATACAATAGATGAATAAAAACAAAATGATTTTCCTGTGCGACAATTTTATTTTCCTCTATCTAGCTCTTACTGCTCGCATTGAAAACGATAATATTTATTTTAAATATTCTTTTATTTAAATCATTTTATCCTATGCTATTCTAATTTATGACTAATTTAGTTGTGAGAAATAATATACCTAATGTTCAGTACGATATCTAGCATGTTAATTATTATATAGAGAGTGTTAATTAGTGTGTTTATTCTTAAAATTCCCGCAATTTTTTATCCTTGCAAATGAAAAGGAAGTGAATCTTTTATAAATGTAAAATATTACTTAATAAACAATTTAATCTATTTCGTTTCTATATCATAAATTCTTAATATATAAAAATGATTATTTATAAGTTGATAAAAGTTTAATTTTGATAGAAAATGGAAACATTTTTACTACATAATAGAAGGTGTTTTGATCAAGCTTTTCCGAGCGAAAAAATATACCCCCGAAAAGGAAAATATCGTCCCACGTGGGGACTCGTTTAATTACAAGTTACGTTATTTAGATATGCATCTGTTCGGTTAATTTTTATTTCAGAACAATGGTACAGGTGAGTAGAAACTTTTAAGTATATTACATTGATAAATTTCCATGCAGTTTGTCTAAATCAATGCATTTTTCTATCAGGTCTATTGGAAATTTTTGATTGTTTTTTTTTCCGTTGTCATCCATTAGTAAATAGGAAAGATGGCAGCAGATTATTGCGCTTTTTTCCCGTGCATTCACGGGTCCGACATTTTTCTTAAAATTAAGCCTTTCTACAAATTTCGGGTGAAACTTATATAAAAACATTGGATACACTTCAGTTTTACGAACAGAATTTAGCGCGTATTTCATTTCTTAAATAAAATGTGATTAATATTGAAATAAATAGAATACATAACGATTTTTGTATATTGAACTTGTGTCAAATACGGTGAAAGACTATATAGAAATTTTAAGTGATGTCCTTAAAGGATATTTGAATTCATGTGAAATAAAAATTTAACATTTTATGAATGAATATCCCATTGTGAATTGTTTATTTATAAACATTTTTTCTTTTTTAAACAAAATATGACAATAATGAGGGTACATAATTTTTTTTTAATGTGTATATGTGTATATCTATATAATGTGATAATGTGTATATCTAAATTGTATATGTTATTTTAATAATGAAATATTTTGTTTGCAGGCAATTGATGAAATGGAACAAAGAGATCTCCCACAGGCTTTTCGCTTGCTTGGGGAGATGAATGCTAATGTTCTACAAGTTAATCAACTTGTAGACAATATGTTAGTCCGTGTCAAAAATGGGGAAATTTCTACGGACAAGGGTCTTAGTTTCCTAGAAATGAAATATCATATGTTACTTTCTTATCTGATTAATTTGACTTACGTAGTTTTGAGAAAATGTTCAGGAGAACGTATAGAAGGAGATCCATCAATCGATCGCTTAATTGAAATAAGAACTGTCCTAGAAAAAATCCGACCAATAGATCACAAACTAAAATATCAAATAGATAAACTTGTTAAGACTGCAGTAACTGGTACTATTAACAGTGATGATCCAACTAATTTTAAAGCAAATCCAGATGCATTTGATAGTAATGATGAAGAATCTGATAGTGATCAAGATGGTAAAGTAGATGGTTTTAAACCAACACAGGCAAGAAAATCTAATATTTATGTGCCACCAAAACTTGCTGCAGTACATTATGGTCAGTATTTATAAATGTATATTTGCACAGTGTAACAGCTGTAATATAATATTTTAAGGTAGAAAATTATAATACATTAAATATTTCGTATTTTTCATTTGCAGATGGAGATGAGACAGTTGCTGAAAAAATTCGCAAATCAGGAGAAAGAGCTCGTAGGCGTGCAGTATCAGGTGCTGTTTTAAGAGAGTTAAAAGAAGAATATTTAGATGCGCCTATTGAAGATAAACACGGTTTAGGGGAAAAACAAGCTAGTCTAGGTCGAGAAAATAAACGGAAGGTAGAATATGAAGAAAATTATATGACACGCTTACCTGTTACTAAACAAGAAAAACACAGACGTCGCCAAATAACAACTCTTGGTACACTTGGAGAAGAAATTACAACTTTCGGGGAATCATCTTCTGTATCTGCTAAAAAGAGAAAAGCTCAGAAAAAGAGCAAAGCTAAAAAGAGTAAATATTTAAATTTAGTTACTTAAGTTTAAAATTAAAATAAAAATTTAAATTTAGTAAATATGCTTATGTCGTACTGAAGTATTTTATTTACAATACAATTTGTATTTTCTTATAGGTTTCAAGAAAAAACGGCATCATTAAATCGAGTTTATAAAAATTTGAAAAAGCTGAATTTCGTACAGCATTAATAATTAAGGTAAAATGCAAATTTACTTCAATTCTTCTTGAGAAACGCAGATGCCATTAATACTCGTTAATAAGTTAAGCTAAATAACTCATAAACAACTAGTAATAAAAACAACAATCGTCAACGGTGAAATAAAATAGCACGATGGTAATTTATTACTACATAAGACATACTAATGGTCGTGTAATTGATAATTATAGTTAATAATGATTTTAATCTTTAATTGTTGTCTAAAATCAATTTTTATCTGTGGAGTTGAAATGTTCCATAAGTCACAAGAAACGATATTCTGACGATATTAAGTACATGAAGAATAATGTCAAGGTACATACGAGCTTAACTTATAAAAGAAAATTACGTGTAATCGTGACACAATTAATCAAATAATGGATTTCGGCTCCAAGATCTAAAATTGCAAGTTAAACGTACAAGTTGAAAGCAGAAAAATTTTCTGCTTTATTTTGAGATATTCTCCAGCTATAGATGAGGAAACCAGTAACATAGCAGGAGGGATGATATTGAATTAATTGTTACAGAAGCGTAAAAATCACAAGACATTCAATGCAAAAATTAGAAAATTCAAGTTTAATAAGGGAAATGACTTTAGAAATTGCAAATATTCTGCAACTTCTAAATATTGTTCATCGTGCGATATCGCGTGTCTTAGGATTTTCTCGCTATTTTAGAGTAGTGTAGTAAATAGTTTTACTATTATATGTATGTTTCGTTTGTGTTTTCCCCTGGTAAACTGTTGAGGCTATTATATCTTGATGTGAGTCATATTTTATGTTAAGTTTAATTTTTTACAATGTGTTTATGCATTGTATTTATTGTTTTAACTTTAGATTGATTTGGTTAAGTTGTTAAACTTATATTAAAAGTAATATAAGGATAACACGAATGTGTCAAAATTCAAAATTAATATTGTCAATTTCTCGATTTCTACTTAAGTTTACTGTATTTAGTTTCTTAGAGAGGGGGTATGTGTGATATTGAAAGAAAAACTAATATACGAAGACTAGAGCGAAAATCACTTCTGCAATAGAATAAAGAGTTTGTACAATCAAATTGTAAAGAGCATCCATATCTTGTGCTTAAATAGGTTCCATTTTTTAAATATTAGATATAACTTTGGGTATCTTTTTAAACCCAAATGTTTCCTTTTAAGATAAAGGGAGAATGATGGTAAATACATTTAATGCAGATCACAACATGGATATTTGTATCCAGTAGTCGTTCCTGCAGAAGTGATCCGCATTACCTTCAAAAGTACTAATTCGCTATATGCTAACCAAGGGCTCAACCATCCATAGATGTTATATTTTTTACAAAAGTGTTCATAGATTGAGCCAACTTGGTAATGCATGATGTTACATATGCCCTCTCTTTTTCAATCTGTGAAGACGATTAAAATGTGATAAATTATTCATCAAATAATAGTTAAAGAAACTAACAGAATAGCACAATTGCTGGGCATTATTTACAAGTGCTAGCAAGCCTAATGTCAGCAGCCTTGTCGTATTTGGTAATGAAGTTGGAATACTGAATAGCGGGAAGATTTTGATTAATGATGTCAAGGTATACTTACAAAATCTCATGCCTGTTTAATGTATGGCATGCACAAAATAATTAATGAAAAATTACAATCGGTTTCAAAATTTGCCCGACATTTAGTTTTCTCATACTTTATACATAGATGATAATTTTTGAAGCACACTTACAACTGAAATAACTGTAAGTCCAAAATACTAAATACTATACTCGTGTGTGTGCGTGTGTGTGTGTGTATATTTATATATATACATATATACATAGTGTATATTCTTCATTTCTACATTCTGAACTGTTTATAAATGCTCATTGAAAAATATCATACTGTTTGCAATAAGTAGAGAAGAAATTTCAGTTGAAAGATTTATGATTACATCTGTTTGTTAAAGATAAATTTTCCTAATATGTTTTACATATTTTGGACTTATAGTAAAAGTGTATGGGTGTGAAAAATATTCATATGAGACACATATCCACACACAACATATAGCAGCAAAGTAATAGGGTTACATTGAATACACTACCTCAAATCAATAGAAATATGGATTTACAATAATAGAACTGCGTCAGTTGCGTTTACATTGTTGTGTTATTGTTCATTTACACATTTACTGATACAGTAATTTTGTTGTGAAATATAATGGAACATATTATGCCTTATGAAGAGAAGTATTTAGAGTTTGTTATCTTTGACCTGCATAGCAGGTATGAATTTTTTAGCAATGTACAAAGGAAGCACAAAATATGTAAACGTTACTGCGGGCAGGGAGTTTAAAGTAGTCCTTCAAATCCAACAACGCTGCCGAATAACAAACTAAAAAGAGGAGAAACAAAATATCTTTGCAG